ATCTGGACCTATCCCTTCCCCCAAATGCCTTTGTTCTTTCTAAGTACCCTTGCTATGTGACCTGTTTCCCTATGAGATTAGTATTAGCTGAGCAGCTATCCTTGTAATCGTATCGGTTGGTTATAGTTTGACCCAAGTTGCACTCACCTTGTGATTTTGTACCCACCTTATGATTCTGCTTCTATAAAATATTCTTATATAAGTGACAACCCACTTTCAGGACCCCTCCTATATCACTTGCCCAGGTGCCTTCCCACAATGTACACCCAATATAGCCCTTTCTAGTACTGCATCTTTTTTTTTTTTCCTCAGAAATATCCCCTGCTTCTGCTTTTGCCCTCTTTACCATCTTTAAACATCCGGACCCCTGAGCGGTTCTTCCCCTGTTTTGAATCAGCAAGGGACATTAGCATGGTTGCTGGCAGCAGGGTGACAAAAGGTCTCTCCAGAGGCCAGGAAGAACGGCCCACATCAATCTGCAGGAAAGCACAGCCACAGTTACCTGGGGACAAAAGGTTGAGAGAAGAATGAGGACGATGGGATGGCTGAAGACAAGGGAAGGAAGAGGGGACGGGAAGAGGACATCCCTCCACTCTAGAATTAGATGGGAGCCCAAAGGTCTCGGGATATGCAGAGTCGCCCAGAGAACTAGTAACTGAGATGGGAGGAGACTCAGCCCACTATGAAATGCCAAGGTTCACCATGACCTCCTACCCTGAAACCTTCCCTGACTGAAGAGACTCGCTGTCCCCTCTACACTCAGGCCCTGAAGGCAGTGCTAAATTCTCTCCTGCTAAGGAGACCAATATCTTTCTGTGCTGAGAAAGCAGAGACCAGTGGCTTTCAAAAGTTACCTATTCCAGAGAATTCTTTTTTCTTTTTTTTTTTAAACCCTAACCCTGTCTATTCCAGAGATTATAAAGTCAACCTTCTCAATCCATAAACTATGTACTACACTGTTCCAGCATCCTCCTGACGCTAATACTGAGAAGTGCAAGAAGATTCTGTTTGTTGGCATTTATAATTATGCCAGTGTTCTAAAGCTTTACTCAGACCACATAGATCAAAGCAAAGCAGGAACACTGCGTAATGCAAGAAGCAACATTCATCATGGAGTTCTCCAAACCCAAGCTGCCCCAAGGGCAAAGGCCACATTTCTCCTTCGCACCCAGGCCGGGCTCAGCCAGAATGGATGAGGACAGTTGAGTGAAGTGGCTAGCAGGGAACACCGATCCTGTGTCTTTCATCAGAAGCACCCAGGCCCTAGAGAACTCACTCACCCACATCGATATAGCTAATGGGCACTGCCCTCTCCAGCTGTAGTTCCACTTTTAGTTGTCCGCTCTTGTCCCGAGGGCAGCTGAGCCAAGGTCCCCTCTGATTGTCTGGGGTCAGCAAGTTCTCCACAGGATATTTGGGATCCTAAATCAGAGAGAAGGAAAAAAAGAAATCAGGAACCTTACAGAGCCCAGGGGGAAAAAAAAGATCCACGAATAAGGGTTCCCTACAATCCCAAACCTTTTAAGGCATCCTAGCACGATGGAAAGACAGATGGGAATCCACGGGAACACAGGGGCCAAGCGGTTATTATAAAAGGTATTTACCCTGACCTCACCAGACCACCTTATTTAATCCCCATGATGACTCTTAGGTGGTTACTATAATTATTTCTTAGTTAATAGATTAGGTCTCTGAACCAAGAGATTTTTAACCCATACTATACCAAAGTTTTCTAATTTATGAGAAGTTTGCAAATGAAGTGATTTTTTTTTACATAAAAATCTAATTTTATTGAATATAGGAATAGATAGATTTTCAAATTAATTATTTTTTCTTTACGGTTATAGTTTTCTAAGGTATCTGATCCAAGGTAGGATTTATTAACTAGTACTATACGAAGATACTTTTCTACTATTATTTCAGTTCTATACTGAAATACATAAACAAATACATTTGAAAGAAATTCCATACTCCTAAACTAATTTTATACTCATAAACAAGTACATTTCTTTTTTTTTTTATTTTAAAGAATAAAAGAAGGATAACATAATAATAGGGGGGACTTAGCAAATTACAGACAAAATGGTAGGAAATTATCAATGGTTATCGTTTTACATATTATTATCTACAAAATAGTTTCTCAGGAAAACAAATAGACAAATAATAGTGAGTTAGAGACAAAAGAGGTAGGAGATTATCAAGAGTTGTTGTGCTATACTTTGGTATCTTCAAAGTGGCTTCTAAAGAAAATAAATAGAGTTATACATGAGTGACCTATTGAAAAATCATTAACTATTCTCAATGGTTGTTGTAGGAAACACATAATAATAAACATACATTATGAAATAGGATAGGAACATTACAAACAACACAGTTATGGATAGATTAGTAGGAAAATATCAGTGGCTGCTGTAATACGTGGTGGTATCTTCAAAGTGGTTTCTCAGGAAGACAGAGATATGCAAGAAGGATCTAATAAGTAGTTACAGCCTAAGGGTTGTCAAAAATAGCATATTACCTCCTCACCAGTGACTCCTTTCACTGAGGTATGATGGCTGGAAGGAAGGCCAGGATTGAAAAGGACCGAGAGACTTGCACCTGTGTCTAGCAACAGGCTGTTTTCTTGTTCCTCCATAGTCATGATTACCCAGAGCTCCTCGATGGAGATGACGGTCTGGCCAGAGGGAGAAGGCAGACCATGCCCCAAGCCCTCTCATTCCTGTTGGACTAACTGGTAGCATGGGTCTGAGCTCTGGGGCCTCCACCTCAGAGGGCAGACCGATCTCCAGTGGTCTCCTTTGCATCCAGGGCATGGCCCATGGGGCCTCTTAGGGCAGTTCCTCTTGAGGTAGCCTGGCTTTTAACAGTGGTAGCAGATGAATGCAGTTGTCGAGTTCTTGGAGCCCCGGGAATCAGACCTGGGATCTGTTTCTCTTAGTGGTGCAGCAAAAGCAGCTGCTTTTTTTCAGTCTCTTTGATAAACAAGTACATTTCAATCTAGATGGAAACATTTGTGATTGGCTTAACAGTGCATGGTAATCCCTGGTATTTGCACTGCTCAAGCTGGTAATGAGGGATCACCTACCTTACAGCAAATTGGAAGCACAGGTATAAATTTGAATTTTATACAAAAATTCAATTTTACTCTTACATTAGTGGGAGCTAACATTTGCAACTTACAGGCAAGCTAATACTCTTGTTTTCTACCTCCTGGCTGAATAAAAATACACCAAATGTACTGTTTTCATTAGGCAAGACTTGCTTTTTATATTTCCGTGAGAATGCTATGTAAGTCTTTCTTGAACAAAATGCCAAGGGTACTAATGAAACTGTCTTTGGAGGAAGTGTTTAATATGCATATTTTATTTAAATTAATCCATCAATAAAAAATGGAAAATTCATTGCCTTTACTTTGACTTTATAGTTCAGTATTTCTAGATCATAGCTCTCAAATGGGCTTAAAAGTCTCTGCATCACCTTTGGCTTGTATCTCTCGATTCCACCGAGGCTTTATCAATGGTTCTTATCATCATCTCCATCTCCATCAATTTTCTTTAGAACATTCATTAACCCTGCACTAGGATCTGTTTTAGCACTGTAAGATGATTTTTCTTTTTCTTTGCACTCTTCAATTTTATTTTCTTTCTTTTGGTACCGGGAATTGAACTCGGGACCTCATGCTTGCCAGGCAGGTACTTGTGCCGCTGAGGTGTATCCCCAGCCCCTTTGCACTCTTTTTCAACCTGAGACTAGTACTTCCTCTGTGTGTTTTCCACTTTCTTTCTACGTAAGAACTGTATCAGTCTTGATTTTTTTTGAGCTGTCTTCCACTGAGATGGGTTTCAAGAGATTGCTCACAATCAGGGTAACTCTTCCCATTTAGATTCTTTACCAAAAGATCAAATGACCTCTCTATGAACTGCACCTGCACATTCTCAGCAGGAACTTGAACTCCAGTTAAGATAACATAGATTTTCACAAACTTCGCTGACCGACCCCGTCCATAATTACTGATCTTCACTGTGTATCCTGTTGTGATGGGAGCAACCGAAGCAACTGGTTTTTCATTGTCAAGAAGTTCCGCTTTCTTTTGTGATTTCTGTTGCATTTTATTCTTTATTTCTGTTCCAATCTTGCATTTTTTCAGCTGTCAGGGCATCATGTACTGTCGTCCTAGTAGCTTTTTCAAGTAACACCTTTACCTCTTCCGATCATTCTGTAACCCTTCCAAAGATGAAGGCATGGTCAGACCAAAGGCTCAAGCTATAGGTGTGCACAAAAGGACAGGAACTTCCAGACCCAGTGTGCTTACAGTGAGTATGGAGCTCACCATCCAACAATGATACTAATACAGGAAAAACACAACTCCCAACTGTTAGATGCCTAATGTGCTGAGTTCCTGGTTTCACAACATTGAGGAATGAAGAGGCGAACCAAAGGAGGAAGATAGGAGAGTTTTATTGGAAATAAGGGGAACAAGAATAGCTTCTGGATTCCCAGGAAAAGGTCCCAACTGGGTGGCCGAGGCCCTTTGTCAGGGCTAATTTATACAGCAAAGTCACAACATGGGTATAGTATGGGTCAAACTACAATCAACCTATAGGATTACAAGTATCGCTGCTTAGCTAATATTGATCCAATAGGGAAATGAGTCACATAGATAGAAAGAACAAAGACTTCTTAGAAAGGGAGAGGAGTATGGCCCACCTACCTGTGTCTGATACCTCTCTAGGCGCACCGGACCAGCTGGTACTACTTACAGGAGAATCTCAAGTTGCTGTTTATCTTGAAGGCCTGACTATTACACCACCCTCCTGAGGCCTGGCTCTCTTCAGATCTGCCTCTAGGCACAATTCTGATGTCTTTTTTTTTCTGACTTAAGGGCCCAATCCTTCTCTGACTATATACTAATTTCTAGTTAACTTAGCTGTGTATAATAATATTGAAAGATGTTTTCAAACCATGTTTGTTTTAGCAATAAAACCCTTCTTTTTAACTGAAATTCTTTTCAACAATTAAAAGCACACCTTTGGTTAAAGAACAGGGTGGTAAGGTAGCTAGAGAAATACTTGTCCCACTTCCTTTCAAATTCTAGAAGTTGGTGCCCACACAGAGCACAGTTTACAAACCATGATGTTATAAGAAAGCTAATCCTCTCTAGCATTTTATAAGGCTAAGAGTCTATGAAGAAAACTGTTCACGTCAGGCATGGTGGTACACTCCTATAATCCTAGCACTCTGGGAGACTGAGGCAGGAGCACAGCAAGTTTAACCCCAGCATGGGCAGTTTAGTCAGACTCTGTCTCAAAAAAAAAAAAAAAAAAAAAAAAAGCTGTGCTGTAGCTCAGTGCAAAGGCCCTGGATTCAATCCCCAGCAGGACAAGTATAATTATTACTTTATTTCATTTAGAACAGAGGTTAATATAGTAGTTCCTAAAGTCCCTGTAAAGGTCTTCCTGAAATGTATGGCAATGGTTTTGACTTTCATAATGAGCAGGAAGCAATATTGTCATTGGGACTCAGGGGCCAGGACTACTCTACATCCCATCATTCTACTGCTACTGCTGCAACAGACTTATCCTCCCAAAAGTCCAGTGGCATCCCTTGAAAAGAACCAAGGTAAAAGCAGGGGAAGAGAAAAGAGGAGGGGTAAATGAACACAGCAAAGACAGCAGAGAAAAGGGTGGGATGTCTCTAAGAATCTCCACACTAGGTCAGTCTTAAGCCTAGGGCCTAGGACCAGTCAAAGGATGAATGACGAAAACTTTTAGGGAGGAGGCTGAGGTCACTCTTGGTGGTTGTGATATCCTCGAAGGTCAGAGATGACCTTGCAGGTCTTGCTTTGCTCTCAGTGACACTGACCAGACTGTCCTTCTGGAACCCTTGTGCAGATTCTGGGCCTAGGGCCTTGCTAGCTCCCTTCACACTATGGGTAGAATCCTGAAGGTGCTTCTTTACCTTCAACTCCTGGCAACACTTCTTTTGTGCTCTCAGCAGTGTTCTGGGAACAATCTTAAGGCAAGGGATATTTTTCTCTTTAGATGCGGGATCCCCAGAGAAGACACAATGGCCCTTTTAGAAGATTATGAGTTTCCTGCAAGTGGAGCCAACTCTCTAACTTGTAGATTAATATACCTGAGAGGAAAATGATACCACGTGGCTGATCTTCACAGGAGCCATGACAGGTCTACCAGTTATCCCAAGTGCAAGGCAAACCGCTTTCTCCCAGGATTTCTTCTGTCACTATTTTGGCACAGCCTATGTTTTGGTTTCATCAGTTTCTAGAAGAACAAGGAGTTCTCACATTACTCCTGAAAAAGAGCAAAAGAAAAATAAACTATTCATAGGTTGGGCAAGGTAGCTCATGCCTGTAACAACAGCTCTTGGGAGGCTGAGGGAGGTCATATCAATAATTCTGATACCAAAAAAACCCAACAAAAACAAACCTACAAAACTCATGTCCACTCATAAGGATGAATAAAGAAAATCTTATATATCATACAATAAACTACTTTATAGCCAAATGTAGTGGTGCATGACAGCACTTGGAGGCTGAGACAGGAGGACTGTAGTGAGCTCCAGACCAGCTAAACTACATAGGGAGAACCTGTCGCTAAAAACCAAACAAACACACACTACTGTACAACATTTAGGAATGAATCAGATGTAAATATACATAAACATAACTAGGTCTCAAAAATATACTGAAAAAATTAAATTATGAAACAATACATAGAAAATAGAATTTATGTTCATTAAAAAACAAAACAAGGGGCTGGGGTGTAGATTAATGGTACAGCACTTGCCAGGCATGGGCAGGGCCCTGGGTTTGATCTCTATTACCAAAAAAGAAACAAAAACAAATACAGATATACACCCATATAAAAGAAAAAATGCTATACTATATACTGTTTCTGTATACACATACATTTTTAAATGGACTTGGAGAATATACAGCTAATTCATAATAAAACTTGCTTCTGGGAAAGATGAGAGATTAATGGCCTTAGAGTACAATTGGTTAAATTCAATTATTATCTGTATTATTTTATCTTTTAAAAAAATGAGGCAAATAGATCATGTCAACAGTCCATCGGCAATGACCGGATTACAGTGTTTATAATGTCTTGTTAGGAAGTTTCATATAATAATTTGCTGTTTTAAGTAAATGAGATGGCTGTAGATGGTATAAATAATACCTTGTAACTTCCGGCCGGCCTCCAAATAAAGTTAATTGGCATTCTAGGCTTCTGCAAGCCCACAGGTGATCCTAGTTCTATGCACTAGGTAGTTCCAGCCGAGGGGGCGTGTGAGCTGGAGCTACAAGCGTGTCTGGTACCTAAGTCAGATGTACAAAGAACAAGGTGTAGAAAATCAATTGCGGACGTGCGTTGTAGCGCACGCCTGTAATCCCAGCACTTAGGAGGCTGAGGCAGGAGGATTGGTTTGCAAGTTCGAGACCAGCCTGGGCTACAAAGTGAGCTCAAGGCCAGCCTGAACTGCATATTGAGACCCTGTCTCAAACAAACAAAAAAAAAAAAAAAAAAAAAATCAATTGGGAAGGTATAAGCGGGGTGGGGCAAAAGAATAAGGCGTACAGGAAGGTGGGTAAGGGTATGAGCTGGGGACGCAGGATGTGGGGAAGGAAAGGGTACCGTGATGTGTGAAGAGGCCAGACAGCCTAATTAAAAAGCAGCCTGGAGACTCTGCAGGTGCCGCGAGGATTCTCTGCTCTCAGCTGCTCTGAGGCTGAAGACCCTAGCTGGTCTCTTTACCTCCTCGATGGCCACTTCTTCTCACTTTCGGCCACTCATGTTTCCCATCAACAACCCCCAACGCTCCTCACCCAGGACCTTGAACCTCAAGGAATCACGGATGTCTCAAACTGGGACCACAAACTCATTCTCCCGCCAATTCCGCCCTCTGACCTCTGTCTTCTGACCCTCGAGGAGGGGCCATTCTCCGCCTCCTGAAGCTCATAAATTCGTTCTGGGGTCTAAAGAAGCTGCTGTTTCTGAAAAATAATTCCCATACAGGCAAGAAAGCAGGCGCTATAGCTAGAATAGTACACGCAGAGTTGGGTTTTTTTTTTTTTGGTTTACTCTCACTCACTACAATTTTCCAGTCCAGAGAGCTCAATTTAAACTTCCGGGTCATATTCCATGCAGCATGGGAAATGTAGTCCTTAATCACCACGCTTCACTCCTTAGTGGCCAAAGGAGGGAGCGTCACAAAAGTTCTCATTTAGAGACTTGCTCCTTTAGCTTTCCAAACGGGGAATTGGTGAAATATTTGCACTCAAAATAATACAAGCCAAATTTTTCATTATCCAAGTACCTCCCCTGCCGAAGCTTGGAAGTACAGAAGAATCCTCCTTCTTTAATACCGAAGCGAGTAGCAGGTAGACGGTCTCTTGGTCTCTGACAGGTCTCCGCCAATCTTGATGCTCCGCCCCCTCTGCTGGAGTCCGCCTCAACGATTGGCTAGAAGCCCTTGAGCGGCGGAAGCAGCTGGCTAGCGCGGGGACGTGGGGAGGGGGCGAGCCTTGAAGATGGCGGCAGTGGTGGAGGTGGATGTTGGAGGAGGTGCTGCTGCGGAACGGGAGTTAGATGAGGTAAGGGAAGCGAAGAAAGGGGAGATCCAGCCTGAAAATGAAGGGAGGGAATGTGAGGTACTGGGAGAGGGAGTTCTAGGAGAGACGGGAAGCATCCTGAGAGGTAAGAAGGAGGTGACCGGGGCGCGGGTGCGCGAGGGACTCCTGACTGGGGGACCCCGTGGCATCACCGGGGCAGAAGACTTGCGGTGTCCTCGGGGGTGGAGATAGAGGAGAGGGAGAGATGCCTGAGAAGCTGGAATGTTAAAATTTTGAGATACTCGCTGAGGGTCCTAGCGTAGGACTGCAGGGCTGACAGGTAGTTTAGGAGTTGGAGGGGCGTGGACTTCTTCGAGGAAAGGCCGGGTTTTCGCTTCGCGAGAGGACTGTGCAAAGCTCGCGGTGCCGGCCGAGGGTGCAGACTTGGAAAGTGCTAATGTACTAGAATTACAGCTTTGGCTTATTTTTACGTAGGAACTGTTTCACTGTTTATCTTCGCATTTTAGGACCTTGTACAGGAGTCTATGTTCGGTAAAGTTTTGGTCAGCTAATTAAAGAACGAATGAGTTATTGGATACCGGAAATCATCCACTCTCTCATTTAACAGATATTACATACTACCTTCGCATTGGGTCCTGGGCTAGGTGCTGGGGACAAAAGAGACCCTGTCCTTGTTGAGACCACGGTGTTTGGGCTAGGGAAGGCTTCCTAGGCTTGTTGGATCTAAAAGGATAAAATGATAGTTCTTCTTTTTTGTTTATACATTTAGTTTTTATTTTGAGACAGGGTCTCACTAAGTTGCCCAGGCAGGACTTGAACTTTTGGTCCAGCTGCTGCCAGGTGCGCCCAGCTTGTTAGAGTCCTCAGTCATTATCTCCCGCGGTCTCTCTGTCTGTCCGGCTGTCTGTCACTTTCTCTCTGTCTCTCATTTCTGAGTCCCCTGAAGTTGAACTTTGAGAGTGTTCTAGTAGCATTTACCTGTTTAATAGGCATTTCACAGCTGGTATGTTGAATTACCAGTGGTCTTTGAAGGACTGCTGGGAGGAAGGAGGCGTTGAGTTTGAAAAGAGGGCTGAGAGGCAATGAGAAAAGGTGAGAAAGGAAAGGGGAAAAAATTCTGAGGCCGAAGGGACCATGAGAATTAGAGGTGCTTGTTGTCTTTAAGTGGACAGCATTTGGGCCAAGACTGCGTGGAGGGGTAGGAGGAAGATGATTGCCAGGGGCAGAACTAGTGGGATCGCTGAGAGTTCACAACCTTAGAGGTCCCTGACTGTTTGGTGGAGAGCGAGTTGGGAGAACCGATGATGAAGCTCAGAGAAAGGAAGTGAACTTAGGAAGCAAAGACTGTTATCCGGTGGTGGGTTAACTTGGTTTAAATGTTTGGGATCATCAGAGTTGAGGGAAGAGACTGAGAAACTGACAGGTGGTCAAAGCCCAGGGGAATTTAGCGTTGTAGTTCCTTGTCTCCCAATCATTAGAGGCTAGAGGTGTTTGGGTATTGGTTGGTGAGGTAGGGTGGTGGTGGAAATGACCTCCAAGGGGCCTTCTAACTTTAAATTTGTTATTACATTTGGCTGTGGTTCAATAAGATATATTTGAGGGGCTGAGGATTTAGCTCAGTGGCACAGCGCCTGCCTGGTAAGCGCAAGGTCATGAGTTCGATTCCCAGTACCGGAAAAAAAAAAATCCAAAACAAAAAAAAAGATATATTTGAAAGCACCTCTAAAAAAATACTGTGTTGAAGTTATTATTTGTGGCTTGTTATGGGGTTTCTTTTAGATGATTACATTTGTCTCTTTCAAAGAGAGATTTAGTTATAGGTATTAGGATTCACTGAGATAAAGAGCAAAAGTTTTGGGAAGGAAAAAAATGAAAGTTTTCATCAAGACATTTTTGACTTTTGCTTATTGTTTTTTTTTTAGTATTGTTTTAAGGACTTAAGAGTGGCTGTTAATATACATTCCTGAGTGTCATTTCTAGAGGTCAACTTTGTATGAAACAACTAGCATTCATCTAGAAATCTTGTTTCATTCTTTGAGAAAGAATATAATCTATCCTCCTTAAATATTGTAGCAACTGGTTCTGTCCTCCTCTCTGTATGTTTAAGAAAGTAACTCTGAGAAGTGGGAACAGTCATCCCCTTCAATCTGAAAGAACAGAGGTCTGGTCTGGCAGACCTTAAATTGTGTGTGCAGATATCCCTAAATGTCTACCTACCTCTTTTTGTTTACCTTTTACTAGTAAAAGAGAAGGTAAAAAAATAATTTAATATGGAATTATGGGGATCTACTGTGTGTTGTGCACTGTGAATTCAAAGGTGAGTAAGACAGGATCTTTACCAGTTTATAATCCAGTGAGACGACATGCAAATCGCCTACTACGATACTACCAGATAATTGCTATATGAAAGTGTGTAACAGGTGCAGTGACATACAAGAGACAAGCGCTGCAGACTGTTAGGGGAATTCATTGATGTCTCTATGATAAAAATGGGTAGCCAGGCATGGTAGCACAGGCCTGTAATCCCAGCATTTGGGAGGCTGAAGCAGGAGGATCGCTGCAAGTTTGAGGCCAGCCTGGGCTATATAGTGAGTTCAAGGCCAGCCTAAACTACACGGCAAGACCCTGTCTCAAAAAAAAAAAAAAAAAAAAAAGGAAAAGTGGGCTTCTCTGCCATAAAGAAGGATAAGCTTGAGACATTCCTTGGTAAATGGATGCACCTTAAGACCATACTGTTAAGTGAAATAAATTGTGCGCACATGTGTAAATACCACTTTGTTTCTCTGGCATGAAAAACCAAAAGTGTAAATAAAGACCAAATGTATAATAGGTATTGTGAAATAGGAAGAAAATATTCAAATAGGGAGGGGACAGGGGATGGGGGTGGAGGAAAGGAAAGAGGGGAAAAGTAAAAAAAAACAAACAAAAAGAAAACAAAGAGAAAATGGAAACAAGCCGGCCATGGTGGCGCACGCCTGTAATCCCAGCACTCTGGAAGCTGAGGCAGGAGGATCACTGCAAGTCTGAGACTAGCCTGGGCTACAAAGTGAGCTCGAGGCTAGCCTGAACTGCATAGTGAGACCCTGTCTCAAAAAGAAGAAAAAAAAAAATGGAAACAAAGCTTTTGTAAATGGGGAGGGGAGGAGGGATTGAAGGGAGGGTAGGGGAATGGGGAAAAAAAGAATCAAGTTATATCATATACAGGTACAAATTCTCTATGATGAGTGTGATCCTTATGTATATCTAAAATATACCAATAAAATCTGATTGAAGAAAAAATAGATAAGGTGGGTGTGAGCTAAAAACTTAAAGATTGAGTTTACCAAATAAGCTGTGATTTGCATGTGACATCAGAGTTGCAGCCCTGTTGCACTTTCTGCTTGGTTGATAGACCCTACTGTGGAGTTTAGATTATAAAAGAGTGGTGAATAGCCTGGCTAAGATGGGGTTGATTTACTTTTTATCTACTTTGGAAAGAATCCACAGTGCTATATTGTATCCTTCAGTGTATTTACCTATGTTTTTCAAAAGCAGATGTTACAGTGAAATATAGTGGTGGGTGCAGTTCATTCATATTCCTTACCTTTTAGGGAGGCTGGTTTCATTGTTACTTTCTTGAGAAGCTGAGAGATAATTTAGGCATTGCTAGTGGCTTCTACTTTGGAGAGGTGACTAGAAAAGAGGGTTTAGGAAAGAGCTGCTGTGCAAAGGCTGCCTGGCTTGGTGGTGCATTCCTGTAATCCTAGCGCTGTGGCACGGAGGCAGAAGGGTGGCGAGTTTGAGCCCAGCCTGGGCAATGTAGTGACTTAATGAGACCCTGTCATCAAAAACAAAAAAAAAAAAAAAAAAAGAAGGGAGCTGGTTTCAAAGGCACTGGGCTTGATATTGAGTGAGAGAGAGAGATCGAGTCCTCGCCATAAGCAAGCCCATCCAGCAGCTCTGTGGGTTAGATGGTGTTAACCCCATCTTGTACACAAGGAAGCTGAGGCTAGTGAAGTTTAGAAGCTGCTCCAGGATTTCCAGTTTGTGAGTAAGGTAGTACGGATTCAGACCCAGTTGTGCCTGTGCTATGCTGAACCCCTTGTTTCCATTTCTAACTCCACTCTTTGTGCTGTAGGGTTAGGTAATTTTAAATGGCCTTAATTATCTTAATTGGCACCATATATTTGATAAGTTGCTGAGACTGAGGAGTTTTGAACCTCGAATTCTTTTCTTTCCTTTTTTTGGGGGGACGGTCTTTTTGAGACAGTATCTCATTATGTAGTTCAGGCTGGCCTTGAACTGCTTTTGTAGCTCAGGCTAGCCCTGAACTTGCAGTGATCCTCCTGCCTCAGCCTCCCAAGTGCTAGGATTACAGGCATGTGCTTCTGGCTACTATTTCCTATTTATAATAGAAGATCTAAAATTAAGATTCTAAGGATTCTGAGATGTGCTAAAGGTCTGCAACTACTAAGAGGTGTCACTACAATTTAAGTCCACATTTCCCTGAAGTGTTGGTCACCCCTCAATTTCAGTAGCCAAACTGCACACTCATCTTACCAACGTATACTGTCCTTTTTTTATGCATAAAAGAGTCCCCTTTCCAAAACATGAAGTGGCATTTATTTCCTGATGGATCAAAATGGAGGATTAATCAAAAGAATAGTTTTTTTTCCTATACAAATCCTTTAATTTACTGATAATTTGATCGTGCTGAACCCTTGGTCATAAGGAATGATTAGTGGTAGTTAGTGAGGTAAGAGATGGGTCTAGGCACCTCCTGCCAGGTAAAAGCAGGCTGTGATGACTGGCTATTCTGTTCATAACTTGCCAAACCAGCATCCTTGAGGATGTCAGTAGGATAATCGGTGAGTACCGACTAGAGGACCCAGAAGCCGACCTACCCCTGGGCCAGTGACTTCTCCTCGAAGGGGTAGCTGGTAGCTGGCTGGCCTCCGAGAGGAATTAGAGGCATCTTCTTGGCCTAGAGAGCTAGTTTAGGACCTAAGGTAGAAGAATGCAGCAGTACCCAATCGAGGCCG